AAAATAGCAGCTATCAAGGTAGAAGTTCACTCTCTTTAAGATATAGAAGGGTAAAGTATTTTTTCTGCTTGCTTAACTCAAGGGGAGGAAAGGTACAAAACTTTTTACCTTATATTTTTCATGAATATGTGTTTTTTATTCATGAAAAATAAATTTTTATAATTCAAGAAATAGTGAGGGTAAAAGAAATAAAAAATTCTTGCATGAAAATTTTGAATATTCATACATGAGTGAAAGTTGATTAAATAAAAAAGTGTGATAAGTGCATCTATCATAAGTCTTAGAATAATTCACATGTTCTTATTTTCCTCTCTATTTTTCTACTTGCTTAAGTCAAGCAGAGGAAAGGTATAAACTTTTTACCTTATATTTTTCATGAATATATTTTTTTAAATTAATTTTTATAATTCTAGAAATAGTGGGGGTAAAAGAAATAAATTTTTTGAATAATCATGCATGAGGGAAAGTTGATTAAATAAAAAAGTGTGATAAGTGCATCTATCATAAGTCTTAGAATAATTCACATATTGTTATTTGCCTCTATATTGATGATTCATTAATTTTTGGCGCTAACATGAATGTCATTGAAGAAATTAAAAGTATGCCTAGTAGCCATTTTGACATGAACGATTTGAATTAGGCAAATTTTATTCTTGAAATAAAAATTTTAAAACATGTGATGCAAGCTTCCTTGACCAGTCATATTATATTGAGAAAATTCAGAAAAAAATATAATTTTAATGATTGCAAGCATATTGTAACTCCTTTTCATTCAAATGTTTACTTATTTCTTGTATAAAGTGACAATGATGTGACAAAACAAAAGAAATATGCTAGCTAAATTGAAAACTTGAGAATATGTGACTGATTCTACTTGGCATGATATTGCATACGTAGTAAGTGTACTAGCAAGTAATGATGGAAGAGATTCCTATAAATAATGATGTTTCTCCCTTGTGTTGTGGATGAGAAAAGTATTGTAGTGTGCATGAAAAAAGTGTTATTGATGCAGTAAAAAGAGAGTGCCAAAAATGAGAAAATGTAAGTGTCCAAAGTATTCTTTACAAAAGAGAATATTATTTAATTGAAGGAAGGTGTTCATTTGGTGAAGCTTTGGACTCAACAACTTGTCAAGAGTTTGTTCGAGTCATAAAACGTTATCGGGTTGTTGTATCCTGGAGGGACAAGTCAACAGTATTACTGCTGGACCGATGAAATTGTTGTCGCAGTGGGATTGAATCTCCTTAAAGAGAGCGAGTTATCCACACCTCAACCTGAAGAATATTTACTTACTTTTCTTTATCTTCTTTTTAACTATAATTACTTCTAATTTTACCAATAGTATCTACAAAATCAAATAGTAGTAAATTGTAACCATTTGATAGCACCCAATGTCAAAATACACTACTAAAAACGGGAAAAATCGACCGCCAAAACTGATCGATGTTGATCGGTAATTGGCAAAAATCGATCGAAAACCGATAGATTCGTGGTGGTCGGTAATCGTAAGGTCGGTATTTTTCGACCGATTTCGGTCGGTCAATTAAATTCCAAAAAAGTATTACCAAGAAAACCGACAAAAGTCGATCGGTATTTTAATTATGTAATTAAAATATGCACCATCTGGGAATCAAACCAGGGTTTGTCTGTGGCAAGATACTATTCTACCACTAAACCATCGGTGCATTTTTTTTAAGATTATCTTTTATTTCATTTATACTCTTTAATTGCATTTTTGCGCGAAAATAGCCGACCGATGTCGGTCGGTTTTATTAATTACCAATCGAATTCGCTCGATTTCTTTCAAATGACCGTCCGAATTAACCGACCAATTTCGGTCGGTATTTTTAATTTTAATTTATAAAAACTAGACCAAAGTTGGTTGGTTTCTTGAAAAAAATAATTCGTGGGACGCAAAAATATTTTCCCGCATTTTTGCGCCAAAGAAAACAGACCAAAAGTTGGTCAGTTTTTCAAAATATTTTTTTAATTTTTTTTTTTACGAAAATCGACCAACTTGGTCGATTTTTCGGCTGACTTTTTGGCCGACCGCGGTCGGTTTTTGCCAAATTTCTAGTATTGATATCCTTATTTTATTTCCTACTAACAACTTCCTTACTAGGTATACCTAGCTAAGTTAGTAGAATTTGCTATATGGACAGGTTACCTGTCATTTCAGTTTTATTTTCTCTCTCAAAGCAATAATAATAATAATAATAATAATAATAATAATAATAATAATAATAATAATAATAATTATACGTATGTCATCCATAAATAACAGCTTGTTTTGATCCTTCGGGACAACTCGACAAATTTAGTAAATCGATTTAGGAGACCTAATGACTATCAATTGAACCTATACATTATTACAGTAGATGCTATATTGTTCACAACATGGGTATACCTATATCTCTTTTGTTGGAATCATTATAGTCAATGCAATTTACCCAATGATAATGCAATAGCCGAAAGGTAAAGCTAAGAGCTCTTTTTGCTCCCCTCTTTCAAAAGGTCCCCTGAACCTCTTCCTTGCACCAACTTATCTTTCCATTCTTACCTTATATCATCAAATACTAATACGATTGGGCATCATAATAAATGAATCTAATCAGGGAAACCAGCTGTGAAAACTCTCTCTACAACTGAATCCAACGGCTATTTCTTAAAAACCCGTCCTTCTCACGCGCCACCAGATGGAACCGCCAGACGGTGCCGCTTCGGCGCGTCTGGGTTGTCAACCGAATCCTTCTAACACGGCGATCCAACCCTCAGATCCAATTAACACAAAATTAGCTTATGCAACAAAAGTCATTTCTTCATCGAATGCTCCGACTCCTTCAAACTGCCATGGCAGGGAGGCTGTAATTACGACTCACACAATGCACAATTGCATGCCGACGGTTCTATTTAAAGCAATGGATTATTATGGTGTTATGGCTGAGGAGTGCAAACTCACAATTGTAGGGAGATCCTCAAGCCAGGGCTCCAAATTGACAAAATTAGGTCAAAATTCAAGGAATTAATATCGATTAAGGGATCTGTCAAGATTGGGGTCTATGATATGTATAATGTGTTCCTAGATTTCACTAATGAAGACGATTTTAATTTCGTCTGGTTTAGAAGAGTTATTGAGATTGAAGGTCAGCATATGTGGCTCCAAAAGTGGTCGCCGGATTTCAAGCCGGAGGAAGATTTGCCGATTGCTCCGATATGGGTCCTCCTCCCCGGACTTGCTTTTCATATGCACACTTGGATTTATGTTAAACAAGTGGTGAGGGCAATTGGCACTCCCCTTGAAATGGATTTAGCGACTAAGGGAAGAACAAGGCCTAGTATGGCCAAAGTAAAAGTTGAAATCGACTTGTTGAAAGACCAACCGAACTCTGTCTATGTTGGTCAAACATATGACAATGCACCTCAAAAAGACTTTGTGCAAAAAATAGAATATGAGGGTGTACCTAAATATTGTAAGTTCTACCGGAAATTGGGACATAATTTGATTAATTGTAGAGCTTTAGAGAGGAAAAAAGCTGCTGAAAATAAGGATTTAGAGACCCTAAAGGCTGCTGAAAATTAGAATGAGGATAACATGGGAATTGTTGATCGAAATTTTGAAGCTAATACTGCTCTTAACAGGGGAATTGGGACTGAACATGCTGTTAAACAGAGTGAACATGCTGAAAATCAGAATGAGGCTACAAAAATTGATCAAAACATGAAACTGTTAAATAGAGGAATGGTTAGTGTTGCTGCTACACATACTGATCAAAACATGAAGTTGTCAAATAGAGGAATTGTTACAGCTGCTACTACACAAATTGATCAAAACAGAGGGACCGAACTGCTGAATTTGCCTTCAACAAAGAAGCTGCTAAACAAATTGATCAAAAAAGAGGGATTGAACCTGCTGAATCTGCTACTGTTGTGAACACTGGGCAGACTGAAAACAGAACCACTCCAAGGTAGAAGAGTGAATTTGATTCTGATAATCACCTCCAATAGCCATCAAGCAACATAAGGGAGAGATCCAGGAAAAAAAACCAAAAAAAGAAAACAGGAAAAACTTCCTAAGAAAAAAGCCAAAGTCATTTTCAAACCAATGCTCTACGTATTTGATGATCCAAGCAGGAGGAAGAAATATAACAAAGAGTTAAGTTTGGCCCTTCAAAACCTGAACCAGAACATTACCATTGAAAATGATATGAATGCTCAAGGGCAACCTAAGGAAGATGAGCAGAGAGATCAAGCTAAGGCATCCAATGATCATGCTAAGGTTGTTAAAGGCCAAACCAAGGCTGTCAGTGAGCAGTTGTCTTCAAGAACTAAGCTACACAGGGATATGCAGGAGGATACTGAAAATAGAGCTACAAAAGAAGATATGCAGAAGTCCATCCGAGAAAATGTTAGTCAGAATGTGAAGAGGGATACTGAAAACAAAAAAATGCAAAAGAGTGTGTTAAACATAAGTGATTATGTCAATGAATCTACTAGTGTGCCTTCTGAAATTCGAAATCTTCCTGGGATTGAGATGGTAGTTGATCTCAATATGGACTCCAAATCAAAACAGGAAAGATATGTGACTAGTCAACAAATAGAGGTGACATCTCCTAATAGGGTGACTGTAATGGTTCCTGAAGACCAAATACAAACTGATTCAAAGGATGAGTCTTTCCAGATCATATGCTCTAAAAAAGGAAAAGGAAAATAGGAAAAAAGAACAAAAGCAAAGATACTACACCTCCTAAAGGGGGATACTCATGCTAGCCTGAACTATTTCAATGATAAATGCCATTTTTTGGAACATTAGGGGTGTGAATACCAAAAAAGCCTTACCAAGGCTAAAAAAATTGATCTCTATCTATAAGGTGGAACTAGTTGCTATTATAGAACCTTTTGTTAGTACTATTCAAATAGAAAGGTGCAGGAGGTTCCTTGATTATCAACACTGTATTTCTAATTCAAATGGTCAGATTTGGATCATGTGGTCAGGCAACAACATGACTACTATACTGAGCAACCATGATCAACAACTTACTATCAAATTGCATTATGGGGCTGCCAACAGTGATCTCTACATCACAGCAGTATATGCTAAATGTACTCCTGAAGAAAGGAGAGCTATGGAATAGTCTTGAGTTAACCAATCTTCATGTGAACGGTCCATGGTGCATTGGAGGTGATTTCATTCTGGATCCCGACTAGAAAAAAGGTGGCAGACCTCACAGAATGAACAAAAGTCTAGAATTCAGCAATTGCATGGATAATTGTGGTATGATGGACTTGGGTTTTGTTGGTCCAAAATACAAATGGTGTAACAATTGGGAGCCAAGAAGAAGAATATGGAAGAGATTGGATAGAGTTTTTGTCAATGATGATTGGTCCCAAATATTTCAAAATAATATTGTCAACCACTTGGCTAGAACTGGCTCTGACCATAGACTTATTCTAATTCAATGCAAGGACGATAACCAGCAGGGGCCTAAATACTTCAAGTTTTTAAATTTTTGGACTAATCAACCAACTTTTTTGCAGGTAGTTGAAGAAGTTTGGAGAAATTGTGTCAATGGAAATCCTCTGTGGAGACTTCAACAAAAGCCTAAAATGCTGAGCAGAAGACTGACTCAATCGTCCAGAGATGACTTTGGCAATGTTTTCAACCAAGTTCAATACTGGAAAGATAAAATGAAAGACCTTGAGCAAATGGATCTTATTAACAACAATGATACAACCAGAACTGAACTGAACAAAGGACAAGCGGAGTACATTAGATGGACGGGGATGCAGGATGACATCCTTAGACAGAAAGCTAGGATGAACTGGTTTGAAGAAGGAGATGCTAACACTAAATACTTCCATAGCATGATGATAGGCTATACTTACGTATTTTAGTCGATTATTACACTCTAATATACTGCACTTTAATTGAGTTTGAGTTTTAATCGCTAGTGTTTTGCACTAAATATGTGTTTTATGCCTTGTAGGAGTGATTCCGAGCTATGTAGATGTTATGGAATGAATTTAAGTGATTTGGAGCTTTAAAGTCTGAGTAAAAGCCTAAGGAATTAAGCCGGGATCATGTTCGGAGGTCGTGTACCAAGTCCGGATGTTAAAAGAGGACGAAATAAGTTCACTCTGAGAAAATTACACTGCCGCGCCGCATGGGACGCCGCAAGGCACGGCGCAACAGTGTAAAATGCTGCCTGATGCGAAAAGTTGAGGCTGCTGATAATTTCCACGAGCGCGCCGCGTGGTGCGGCGCGGCAGTACAAAATTTACAGAGCCAGAGTCCTATTTCGCGCGGGAGAAGGTGTTTTCGTCTGGGCCCGACCCTACTTGGTATAAATACATGTAAAACGCTATTTTACAGGGGGGAGATACTTTTGAACACATCTCAGACCTAGGGATACACTTTAGATGTGGAGGAACACACCACGCTTTGGGAGAGGACGTTTTTGAGAGTAAAACACAAGCACAGAGCTGCCGTGGAGGTCGGGTTTCATCTTTTCTTTCACCGAACTTAGTAATTTTTATGTTTCTTTGTATGATTTGTTGTTTGGCTACCATGTCAATGTGGAGCTAAACTTCACGTTCTAGGGTTGTGGTTCTTTCATGACTATTGTTATTCAGATATTGATTTTGATTTCTTAGTTTACAATATTGGTTTATTTATTTAATCCTGCACTTAATTATTTGATTTCTTGATCACCAATTTAATACTATCTACGAATCTAGAGTTGAACTCGAAAGTGGGAATTCTAGATTGCATATAGGATTGAGTAGAGAAAGTTCTTGAACCTGGGCATCAGGGAATGGATTCGCAATTAGGATAGATATATACCTAATTGTCTTGCTTGGTTGATTTATAGGAAATATAAATTCGTTCTTGTTGATTCTAATTCCATAGACATATAGGAGTTAGGTTAGCTTGAATAGGCGAGTAAGAACTCGACAGATTCTTATGAGCAATATTAACCCTGTTAACCAATAAACTAGATAAATTAGTTAGTCAATTCAATTGAAGAATACAATAGGAATGTTAGATAGCCCATAACCCTAGATCGTTTTCATTACATTGATATCATAAAAATCTGCTCTTCCTCTATTTAAAGTTCATGATTTATATTCTTTATTTAATTAGTTTAGAATCAATTACTTCTAGGTTTAATTCTTGTTTAGATAACCAGGATAGTCTAATTTAGTTAATGGTTAATCACAAGTCCTCGTGGGATCGACATCCGACTTTTAGTCACTTTATTACTTGACGACCGCGTGCACTTGCGTGAGTGCGTTTGGCCGAATATTGATTTTGATTTCTTAGTTTATAATGTTGGTTTATTTATTTAATCCTGCACTTAATTATTTGATTGCTTGATCACCAATTGAATACTATCTACGAATCTAGAGTTGAACTCGAAAGTGGGAATTCTAGATNAATTCGATATTTTATTGTAATGAGCAAATTTAGCTCGATGTGCAATCTCCTTGTGTGAGATCTATGTTTGGATCGGGTTGCGCGCCGCAACAGTGTGATGTTGAGTATAGTTTTCTACATGTTATTTTTGTACGTCTCGCTTCCTATTTTCTAAGGAAAGTCCGTATTAGTGCGGGAGTTAGGTAATTCCTTCCAGAGTTCGTTTTCATTGTATCGTGTTCGAATTGGTAGCCTATTGGCACATTGTGGCGTCATATGTGACTTTGATTATGTCCGGGGTGGCTTATTGCCTGAGCAGTTCGTACTGGGTGAGATGAGATCATTGGATTCAGGATCAGTGCAATCTGACTATATGAAGTACATTAAGGAGCTAAGACCATTATTTGGTTCAGAATGAGGTGATGGTTATTGTCAGGAGTATAGACCCAAATGATTGGTTGATTCGGCAGTTGATTATGAATTTCTGCACATCTCTTCCGTTGTGGCGGCATTGTAAGAGTTAGAGTAAGGCCTGTGTATGTCATGGGGTGCAATGGGAGCATCAGATTAGTAGGATTTAGACTAAGTTGATCAGAAAAAGGTTATTATGGTCCGGTGAGTAAAGTGATGCTAGGTATGAATTCAGCAAAGTTATGCAGCTATGTTTGAGCAGCGTGTGGTGATTAAAATGGTGACCTTATGGTGGAAACAGGTCGGGCATATAATTCCGGATGTTGGAATTGGGCTTTAAGGCGTATCTGCTTGAAAAAAAAAAGAGTATCTTCAGAACTGATCGAGCTAATGTGCTCAACTGAGTTGTGGTAGCACGGGAAGGCGCATGAGAAGTTAACCAGTGATTTCAGACTACTTCAGCGTAGTTCTCAGCACGTTCGAGGACGAACGTAAGTTTAAGTGGGAGAGAATGTAACGACCCGACCGGTCGTTTTGAGTCCTAGCGCTCCGTTCAGCAGCCCGAGGCCACGGGCAGCCTCATTTCAGGTATTATGACTTGTGCGGGTGGTCGGAATTGAATTTCGGGAAGTCCAGAGTTGTTTTGGAAAGAGAATTCTCATTTCGGAAGCTTAAAGTTGAAAGAATGAACTAGGATTTGAATTTTGAGTAAACGGCCTCGGAATCGGGATCTGAAGGTTCCAGCGGGTTCGTATGATGATTTCGGACTTGGGCGTATGCCCGGATCGGGTTTTGGATGACCCGGGAGCGTTTTGGCGCCTATTGTGGAAGTTAGCATTTTAGAAGAAATTTCATAAGTTTGGCTTGAAGTGCATTTCAGTGTTATCGATGTCCGTTTGGGATTCCGAGACTGTGAATAGCTTCGTATGGTGATTCTGGAGTTGGGAGCGCAATCGGAAGTGAATTCGGAGGTCTATAGGTTATTTTGGAGTCATTTGGCTAAAGATAGAAATTTGAAGGTTTTGAGGAGTTTGACCGGAAGTGGATTTTTTGATATCGGGGTCGGAATCCGATTCCGGAAGTTGCAAGAGGTCCGTAAAGTCGAATATGACTTGTGTGACTAAAATTTGAGGTCAAGTCG